GTGGAGGCAGGAGAATTAGAAGTTCAAGATCATACTTTACTACACAGTAAGTTCAAGGCCAGCCTGGGCTACATGAGAGCCCATCTCCGAAACAACAAAAGTTTATCAAATGGGGCCATTCATAATGGTGTGGGGAGGTTGAAGGGAGGCCTAGAAGATGGTGCAGTGTCCGGGGACTAGCAACAGGGGGTGCTGTTAGCAACCTGGGCCTGAAAGGGCAGAGGTCAGAGAGATCAGAAAGTAACAGCTGTGAAAGAAAGTCTTCTGAGAGGGGAACCAGGAACCATGGCAACCTGACAAGGAGAGAGGGAGGGAGGGAGAGAAGGAAGAAGAGAGGGAGGAAGGGAAGAAGGGAGGAAGAGAGGGAAAGAAAACCAGTTTAAGGCCAATTTGGACTAATTAGAGAAACCCTGTCTCCAAACAACAACTTAACAACAATAATGGTTCATGACATATAAAAGTTATAAGAAATTTACATTTCAGTGTCCAGAAAGAATTTGCTTGGAATGCAGCCATGTCCACATTATATTACCTATTGCTGCTTTTAGGCTCTAATAGCATAGTTTAGCCAACAAAATCTGAAAAATTTATTAACTGGCCTCTTATAAGTAAAAGTGTCCTCTTGGGGCTGGAGAGATGACTCAGCAGTTAAGAGCATATACTACTCTGTCAGGGGATGGGAGTTTGGTTCCCAGCACCCACCTGTAACTCCAGCTCTAGGAGATTTGGTACCCTCTTCTGGCCTCTGCAGGCACCCACACACACCCACACAGATAAAATTTTCTTTTGAAAAGTGTGCTTTGGGTCATTTACTTTTCAGGACCCAGTGGCATAACGAAGGGAGCAGAGGACAAAAGAAGTGAGACCAGTGTGTACCCCAACCCCTGTCCTTCCCTCCCTTACTGCTAGGTTGCTATGGTTACTGCGTCTCCTCCAGGAAGGCCCTCTTTTTATAGCTGCTATCTCCAGGTTTCTCTCACCCCTATCCTTTCAGCCCCTACTGTGTGCCTACAGGCTGAGGAACTGTATCAGGTACCTATGTCATTCTTCCTTTCAATGCTGGCCATACATATTGCATATAACTTTCAGACAGCTCTGTGCAAGTTACCAGAATATCATTTTAGATACAGAGACTTTGCTTTTCTGTCTCGGGTCTTATAGCCAGTGGATACTTCTCTAACTTCCTCATCCTTTAGGGGATTCATTCTATAAAGGTTCCGCATGTACCCCAGCGGGACCAGCTTATTATCTCTCCCTGTATTACCTTTCCTGTTCTCACTGTCCATCCTCCATTTCCCTCTCTTCTCCTGGTGCAAACCTCGATTCCCAAGTAAACCACCTGTAAACTGTACTTTTCTCAAGCCTTGCTTTTATGGGAACTCAAAGTAAGAGAAACATGTGGTTCTCCTTGGTTTGTTGGTTTGTTTGTTTTTGAGGTAGTCTCATAGAGCCCAGGCTGGTTGGGAACTCTCTATGTGTCTGAGAGTGACCTTGAATTACTTACTGATCCTTTGCCTCCATCTCCCAAGCTTTAGTATTCCAGGTGTGCACCATGATGTCTGGCTTTCTCTTTAGTTTAGGCAGTTAACCAGGGCTTAGGGATGCAGCTCAATGGTAGAGTTCTTGCCTAGCATGTGCACCTTGGGTTTAATTCCTAGCAGTACTGAATAAATTCTAAACACGTATTTCCTAGTTTGTTTCTCCGTTGCTATAATAAAATACTCTGACCAATACCAACTTGGGGAGGAAAGGGTTTATTCAGCTTACATCTTCTGGGTCACAGTTCATCAGGGAGCTCAAGGTAGAAACTCAGGGTAGGAACCTGGAGGCAGGAACTAGAGCTCAGGCTTGCTCCCCTGGCCCCTGTTCAACCTGCTTTCTTATGCAACACAGGCCCACCTGACTAGGGGTGGCACCACCCATAGTGGGCTGGACCCTCCCCCCATCACTCAACAGTCAAGAAGATGCCCCACAGACATAGCCTCGGGCCAGTTCAATGGAGGAGATTCCCCAATTGAGGCTCCCTCAACCCCGGTGTGTCAAGTTGATACTAAAGCTATCCAGCACAACATGTAAGTTTGCTTTATCTGTTTTTGATATGGAGCATTTAATTACTTTGTGATCACAGAATACTGTTTTCATTTGAAATCTGTTGAGATCTATTTTGTGGCCCGGAAAAATGATCAATTTTTATCAAAGTCCTTTATGAATGTGAAATTTGCAATTGCTAGGGACAGTGCCTTTAATATATATTTTATCAAGCTAATTGTATTATGCAAATCTCTATATTTTCTGCATTTTTCTGCTTATACCATGCACTATAGAAATGTGGAAAAAATCTCCCACTATGTGAATTTGTATATTTCTTTTCACAGTTCTTGCAATTTTTGTTTTATATACACACATACACACAAATGTGTTTGTTTGCTTTGGTACAGTATCACTATGTTGGCCAAGCTGGTTTCTAAGTCCTACACTCAAGCAATCTTCCCACGTTTGCCTTCTGAATTGCTGGAACTACAGATACACATGACCTCCCCAGCTTAGTTTATGCACTTTAATACTTTGATTATCAGGTATGTGTAATTTGAGAGTCGTTATATTCTGTACTAGTTACTTTTCTTATCACTGTGACCAAAGGATTTATTATGGCTCAAAGTTCATAAGACACAGTCCATAGGATGGGGAAGGCATGCAGCGGAGTGACTTTGTGGCAGTGGGAGCATGAGGTAGCTGCTGGCTCACATTTGGGCAGATCAGGGCAAAGAGAGGTGGTCTGAAATAGTGCAGGCTATAAATATCAAGGCCATCCCTCAGAACCCCCTTTTTTACATGGGCCGCACCTTCTACAGATTCTACTGCCTCTCAAAACAATATCACCAATTTACATACTTCAACATACAGTGGCATAAGTAGATATTCCCACTCCAAAAGGGAAGAAGAGGAAGATAGAAAGATTAGACCAAAGCAAGAAATTGAAACCCAGCAGGACATCACCTGAAGCTCCATATCTGGTATTCTTGATGACAACATCTGGCCTCCAACCACTTTGGGGAATCCCACTCTCCAGCTCTGTTGCCTATAGCACATGTGGTCTCTCACTTGGGCTAATGCCATTTGGTGCCTGCAACTTTTCTTGGTAAGCATCCCATGTTTCTGGCATCTCCAGTATCCTGGAGTCTCCACTGTAACTTAGGCTTCACCTTCACAGCTTCATAAACAGCTCACTCAAGAACTCCATGCAAGAAATCCAACCCTGCTGTACATTGTCTGGCTTCAGTAGCTTTCTGATTCTTGGTGTAAGCTTCCATGACTCTGTAACTCCTGCATTCTGCACTCCTGAAAATCAACACTTAGAGGGATGATACCAAGTTCTGCCACCAGCTCACGAACCCAGTCTCCATGAACCACAGCTTCAGAGGCTTCTGTGTGTCTTCATGGTTAAACTTGGAAAAATCACTTCCCTAGGTGGTCCTGGTCGAACAGGATGCTACAGAGACTCATATTCAAGCACTCTCTTTTCACACTGGAGCTTTCAATGTGTAGGATCTTGTCCTCAAGGCACCTTTCCTATTGTCTCTGTTTGAAGTTCCCAGTTGCTTTTTAATGGCATTAATCTCTTTAACAATTACAGGTACTGGGGGCTGGAGAGATGGGTCAGTGGTTAAGAGTACTGGCTGCTCTTGCAGAGGACCCAGGTTTGGTTCCCAGCACCCATGTGGCAGGTAACAACCATCCAAAACTCCAGTTCCAGGAGATTCAATGTCCTCTTCTGACCTCCTCAGGCACAATACAACATGGTGCACTTACACACATGCAGGTAATACACTCTTACACATAAAATAATAATAATAAGCTGGGCGTGGTGGCGCATGCCTTTAATCCCAGCACTCGGGAGGCAGAGGCAGGAGGATCTCTGTGAGTTCAAGGCCAGCCTGGTGTATATAGTGAGTTCCAGGACAGCTGGGGCTACAGGGAGACCCTGTCTCAAAAAGACCCCCCCAATAATAATAATAATAATAAATGATTTGGGAGGGTCTTTTTGAGACAGAGTCTTTCTGTAACCCCAGCTGTCCTGGAACTCACTATGTAAACGAGGTTGGCCTTGAACTCACAAAGATATGCCTGCCTCTGCTCCTGAGTGCTGGGATTAAAGGTGTGTGCTACCATACCTGGCCCAAAATAAAATTTTTTAAAAAAACAATATACTTTGTCCACACCAACCTTATCTGTAGCTTTAAACTCATTCAGGTGCCTTTCCTCACTAAATTGTGCATTTTTTCATATCTTTCTGCTCTCTTATCACTGTAAATATGACTAAGAGCTATAAGCAGTAGCGATACCATAGCCTGACTGCTATGCTGTCTTGAAATTTTCTCTACCTAAAATCTTTGTTCATATGATGATTAATATTTATTGTCAACTTGACAGCATATAGAATTATCTAGGAGACAACCTTGAAGATACACCTGTAAAGGATTATCTAGATTAGATTGAACTTTGTATACATCTGTGAAGGATTATCTAGATTATATTGGACTTTGCATGCATCTGTGAGGGATTATCTTGATTAGGTTGAAGTGGGAAGATCTGCACTAATAGTGGGTGGCACCATTCTCTGACTTTGAATTCTGGACTACATTAAAAAAAAAAAAAAAAGAAAGCTAGCTGAGCATGAACCATCATTTTCTGCTTCCTGACTGGATGTAATATGACCAGCTGCCAAGAGGACTTCTCTGCCATGATGGACTGTGCCCTAGAACCAAAATAAGCTCTTTCTCTTTTAAGTTGCTTTTATCAGGGTAATTTATCATAGCAACAGGAAAAGTAACTAAGATAGTCCATTACTTTTTGACTCAGTCTCACTCAAGTTTTCAGGACACAGGCAGGACACAGCCAGATTCTTTGCCAGAATATAGTGTGGAAAACCCTACAGGGAAAACCCTGACAGAGTCCTTGTTCCCCCTGAAATCTTAAGAGCACAGGTTCCTCTTGCCCCCCAGGGGAAAACATGAACACAGTCCCTCACTACCATACATTGTGCAGCTGAATTTCCCACATTTAGAGAAATCACACGGGTCAGCACATCCAATGCAAGTGATAACCCTCATCCTGGGAAAACCACCTTTGTGATCATAGTACCTTCCCTGCCAGGAATGTAAAACACAGTCTTTACTGTCTACATTTCTATTAGCATTCTGGTCTACCAAACTCCCACCAGAATGGCCCATTAAGCTCTGCTTATAGCATTTTAGGGCTTTGTGAGCCCACATTGAAAGTCTTCCACATTCCTCCTGCAAACCTCCTTCCAAAAACCTATGAGCCACACGGTCAGGTTTATCACAGCAATAGCCCCCTTCTACCACTGGTTTTCTCTATTAGTTATTTCCACTTTCTAAGATCAAATACCCGACAGGAAGCAACTTAAGGGAAGGAAGATTTATTTTGGCACATGGTTTGAGGATATAATCTATCATGGTAGAGAAGGCGTAACATCAGGAATATCAGCAACATCAGTATCACAATCATCAGCACTGGACCTATGGCTGCAGGAGTGTGAAAATACTTCTCCACGTCTCTGTGGACCAGGAAACAGAGAAATGAGGAATGCTGGTGTTCAGCTAGCTTTTCCCTTTTTTCTTTTTAGTCTGTCTGGAACACCAGTCCATGAGATGATGCCACCCACATTCAAAAAAGAAATACCCCTCTCCCATCCTGAGTTAATCCTCTCTGAAAAACCCTCAATTGTTTCTTAATCTAGTAAATTTAAAGATAAAATTAACCATCACATTTCCTTCTGGCAATATAAACATAGTCAAGTTTAAAATGATAAACAGTTTATACTAGAACTGATGTTTTCCCACTTTAGTTTATTTTTTCTAATATTAACACACTGTCTTAGTTATCTCTCGTGGTGTAGTAATTACTTGTCTGGTTGCTTTGTAAAAATACCTGACAAAAACAACTTAAGGTAGGAAGAATTTATTCTGTTTGAGTGTACAGAACATCACAGCAAGGAAGTCATGGCTGTAGGAACTGATCACATTACATCCATAGTCAGGAAGCAGAGAATGATGCATGCTGATATACATATATATATATATATATATATATATATATGTATTTTTGAGAGAGG